TGTTTCATCATGGCTTCTCTGGAACTGTGGTTGGTTTGATTGTATTGTTCAGTGTTCCTAAGTCTTTGAAAGTTATTTGTTATTATAGTATTGTTATTATATAACTTGTTTTCCTGGTTCTGCTCACTTCACTTTGCATCAGTTCATGTAAGTCTTCCCAGGTTTTTCTGAAAACATCCTTTTCACCATTTCTTACAGTACAACAGTATTCTATTACTTACATGTACTTTAGTTTGTTCAGCCATTCCCCACTTGATGAGCAATCCTTTAGTTTCCATTTTTTTTTGCCATCATGAAAAGTGTTACTATAAATAGTTTTGTACATATGGGTCTCTTCTCTCTTACTTTGACCTCTTTGAGCTGTAGGTCTAGTAGAGGTATCACTGGGTAGAAATAGTTTAATAGCTTTTGGGACATAGTTTCAAGGCATCACCCTTAAAAGTCTCTCTCTGAACTAACTTCTCACAAAATTCTCTTTATAATATTTCTTAATAAAATAAATAAGGCAGTTCTAACAAGAAAAAAAGTTTTTCCTCCTCTTTCTGTTTTCTCCTTGGCTTATCTTATAGATCCTCATGACTCAAGGACAAAGTCATGTACAATCTTCTTGATTCCACAAAAAGAAACATCTCATACAAAGATACAACTGGTGATGTTCTGATAAATATTTGATAACAGGCTCTCTGAAAAATAAATGTACTCATGATATACTTTTAAATTTAATCTGTTACTAATATGCTCTCCATTTCTTTAAGTCTAGACAATCAACAAAACAATAAATTAAGTTCTGATTTGTTTTTGTCTTTGTTGTTGTTTCAGTCATGTGTGACTCTTCATGACACCTTTTGGGAATTTCTTGGCAAAGATATTAGAATGGTTTGTCATTTCCTTCTCCAGCTCATTTTACAGATGAGGAACTGAGGCAAACAGGGTAAAGTGACTTGGCCAGAGTTACACAGCTAGTAAGGATCTGAGGCTACTCTATTCACTGAGCCATCTAGCTTATTTCTGAGGTTTAAATGTTTATACTGAAAATTTAGCAATTGCCTCTCTTGAGCCTGTATTCTAGTACTGGCTGTGTAGAACTATACCTCTTTTTAGCTTTTCTAAGCTAAAGAGATAGTAAATTTCTATTTCTTCTGTAGGAGAGGCTTTTGGAATAGGGACTACAATTCCATACCCTGTGTTTGTACTCTGATTCAACTTGGCCTCTTTCCATCTATACCAAGGATATCTCGGTCTGTGACAAGACAGCTAGAAAACCAACCAGACAAGTCTCAGTAAGAACCTTTTCTCATTTTCTCCTGCATCTTCTCTCTCCAACTCATAGCCTTTGGCTTTCTTAGGGAGCTGCCCCTGTGTGAAGGCATTTACAAACTTTTAATGACTAGGATAAATAATGGAGAGCTCAGTGGAACTAGTGTGCTGATTCTGAAGGCAGCCTGTCCAAATGACCAACTTTGAACGCTTGAAAACCAGCCCTCTTTGGGCTCTGGGTTACCATTCCGGTTGTATATTTCCCTGTTCCTTGTTCCCACATGCTTCTGCCCCTAGGTATTTTACTTTGAACCCTGAGCCTCTCTTTATATGACTTAAAAGAAGCAGTAACAAAATAACTTGCTTTATATATTACTAATATGTCTGATTTTTTTTTTGAAATGAAATGTTCTGTCTCAGTCCCATAACTGATATTTAGTACTAGGTTGCTCAATTTGTTGGTTTTATTTTTTCTCTTTTGTTAAAACACATGTTCGGAAATATTCATTTTCCTTTAAGGACCACTTTAGCCACACCCCACAAATTTTTAGTTTATTATTTCAGCTGTAATTTTCTACAATCATTTATTGTTTCTATTACTTTTTCTTTAACTTACCCATTATTTATCACTGTGTCTTTTGTTCATATTTACTTTAAAAATAATTTTCATTGCATTATTGTCTGTAAAGGATGTGCTTACTTATTTTGACATTTTTTATTTTGTAAGTTCTTTGTGCTCCAGCACATGATCAATTTGATCTATCATGTCTAATTTGATCAAGGAAATATGGGTCAAAGTATGGGGCAGTGTCAGAAAAAACCATATCATCAAGAAACTGCACACAGACCTGGAAGAAGCATATGTCCCAGCAAATCCAGAGAAAGAATTGAAATGTGGTCTTAGATATGCTACTCAAAGTTCTGGAACCCGAGATTTCATTAGGACAGGGTACAAATGCAATGATCACAGAATTTTAAATTTTTTGGTAGTTTTTTTTTTGATGGGAGAAGGGAGGGGACATATAGAAGATGGAATTTCCCAATTAAAATCTTCTTTTCCTGTGTAATACAGGAATAAAAGTAGCCATTGCCTGAATCTCCTATGCTGTTTTCTGGCTTTTGGTTTTCACAGACATGTTGGATGCCACATCCTGGACTGTGTTCAGTGTCACTGTTAGCATAGTAAGCTTTCTTGGAATTCTGGTCATGAGACCTTCAGGTGAGCATTTCTCTCTCTTTTTTTGGGTTCTTCAAGTGAATGGAACAATTCATAGTCAACCCAGTCAAGAAAAATTTTTCCCACTGGGAAAACTCAAGGCTTCCTGACTGCTCAGCATAGCAGATATGATCCCACTCCTGGGTACCATATGTAGAGATCAATTCTTCCACCCCATTGATAAGATCCATTCACAGGAAACTAGTACATAATGGAAGAATCTTAGGCTATTCTGTCACTGGTGTGGTTTTCTTTAGCTAGGTGTTTGGTTTTTTAACCTTGAATCCACACCAACTGTTCATATCAGTTCTTTCAGGGTTGACTAAGTCATGGGGAATTAATTAATAGTAAACAAACTTCACAGTAAATGAACTTGCAAAGCAATCACTAACTTATCAATTGATTTTTTTCTTTCTCAAAAAATTAAATCTAATAGATTATGATGGATATCTTTTGCATCAATGTAACCTAGCCTTCCCTCTGTATTCGTCCTCTCCTCTCTTCCAAGAGAGCCATCCGTTATAGCAAAGAGTTTAAAAAAGGAAAAAAAGGAAAAGGAAAAAGAGAGTAAATAAGAACAAGTGATCAATTGATCAAAACAATCTGACATTATATCCAGTGTTCCACACTTGTGGGCAATGCTTACCCCATAATACCTCTGAAGAATGGTTGATGGAAGAATCTTTGCATATTCCTTCTTTGGGACCAAGCTTGTTTCTTGATATTTGACAACACTTACTTTTGATATGTGTGTGTGTGTGTGTGTGTGTGTGTGTGTGTGTGTGTGTGTGTTGATCTTTCCATTTGCATTGTTGTGGTCATTGCTTATATTGTTTTCCTGGTTCTTCTTACTTCACTCTGCATTAGTTCATGTGAGTTTTTCTGTGTTCATTATATTCATTGTTTCTTACAGGCCAGTAATATTCCACTACACTCACATACTACAATTTGTTTAGCATCCCCAATCTATGAGCATCTACTTTATTTCTAGTTCTTTACTACCCTCGAAAGTGTTATAAATATTTTTGTGTTTATGGAGTCTTTCTTTCATCATAGACCTCCTGGGGTATATACCTAGCAGTAGAATCTCTGGGTCAAAATGTATTGCTATTTTAATTATTTTATTTAAATAATTACAAATTTGCTTTCCAGAATGGTTGTACTGATTCATAGCTCTGCCAACCATGCATTCAGTATTCCTGTCTTCCCACTCTCCTCTGTATCATGTCCTTGCCTGAGGGTGCTCTGCCCAAAGAAAGGTAAACTTTATAGGCTGAAACCTACCTTGATATCTTGGGGTTCACAGGCTAGATTTCTTTCTAAAAGGCTATTCCTCAAAACCAATTCACTCTGGCTCTCATTGATTGGCCAACAATAGGACCCTGCCCAAGCACCACTTAATGGTTATTTTTTGGGCCCTGATGGCTCAGAGTGAATGTAAATAGTAACTGTTTCTCTTCTGGCCACTTTAATTTTTTTCTTCCCCTCTCACTTTAATTTTTTTTTTCTTTTTCTTTTTGGATTAAAGGGACCATCCCTTGACTCACTTTCTAAACAACCCTAATTTCTGAATTGGCAATGCTTCAGTCAAAATAAGAACTCAAAAAGAACTTAGCTTAAAAAGGCCAAGGTCTCCCACTGCATCCTGGGCCATCTCCAGTTGTCCTGATCTATACCTGGCCACTTGACCCAGATGTCTCTGGAAAAGACAGGGAAGCTGGTGACTTTGCATAGCCCTCCCTCACCTAAATCCGATTCACTCGCAAGTCATAGCAATGTCTTCCTGATGTCATGGTCTTCTTTGAGAACGAAGGACAAACTACGATACTCAGTCTGCATTATTTGAAGTCCCACATTGGACTGGAACCAATTACCATATTTTATATAATTATAACTTTGAATAGTGCAAATATGAATATAGGCAGGCATAGCAGGAGATTAATTATTTGGAACCTAGCTGTATTGAAAGCACTATCCTAGGTGCTGGAGACACTCGGGCAAAAATCAACACAGTCTGTGCCCTCAAGGATCCAATATGTACACAATATAAGTTGAAGAAGAAGAGACTAATGATAACCAGTGTGATCAGGGAAGACTATGGATTGTTCTCCAATGACTTTTTTTAAAAAAAAATAGATTTTGCTTTCTGATTTCTACATTTTGTTTAATGAAATCACCATCACAATGTCTTGATAACTTCAGTGTCCTGTTGTCCACTGAGTGCATTTTTGATGTGCTTTCTTGGGCCTGCTTTTGGTCAGGCTTCATAATATATCATTGACAGAGTGAGGATTCCAGTTACTTTTGACCTTATCTTTCATATTTTCTTTACTTTTTAATATTTCCCTGGGGGTCTATTCATTTGGCAGTCTATAGTGGTCTCTGTTCACATTCTGTTCCAGATAATCACTGGAAAAGACCATGATGGTGGGTTTATCTTTTTGCTATAGATTCATATGCATGACACCCCGTTACCAACTCCTCTCTGATTCTCCCTTGCTTTCTGCTGCACCAAATAGAGTAGTTCATGGTGATAGGACCTGCTGAGTCTATCGTTGTTAAGCTGAGTGAAGATGTTCTGTTACCTTGTCACCTCTCCCCGAAAATGAGTGCTGAGCGCATGGAAGTGAGTTGGTTCCGATCTCACTTCTCTGATGCTGTCTACATGTACCAGGATGGGAAGGCTCGAGATGACGAGCAAGCAGTGGAGTACAGAGGAAGGACTGAGCTTGTGAAGGACACTATTGCTCAGGGGAATGTGACCCTGCGAATCCACAGTGTCAGGCTATCCGACAATGGACAATACTGGTGCCAATTTCAGGAAAACCATGAATATAGAGAAGCCAAATCAGAGGTGATTGTAACAAGTGAGTTTCTGGGTTTTGTCTTTTTAAATTTCCAATGGTTAAAAAAAACTGGAGTATTTTGCCCCCACTGAGTGGGCAAGTAGAGGAAGTAATTTCATTTATCAATATCTCAGTTACCAATTTTTTGTCCATAAGTCCTACTCTGTGGTTTTGTCAGAAATAGCAGTGGTTCAGTTTCTAGTTCCTTCCTATTTCTTTTCACTTTTTGCTAATATTTTTTGTCTGAAAAATGTTGAATTGAATTAGATTTAATTCTACCCAATACCATTCAACATTTATTAAATGCCCATTATGTGCAAGGGAATATCTCCAGTCCTGTGGTTGATACAACTATTTATAAATAAAACATGATGCTTGCCCTCATGGAACTTACATTCTAACAGAGGTGATTAAAACATCCAAATAATTCTAAGAAAATATAAGAAGTGCACAACTTCTTTAAAAACTCTGTAGAGGGGGAGGTGATTGGCTTGGCTTCACTAACTAGCTCTATGAGTTTTTTATCTTCATAAAGAAATTTTAATTATAAAGCATATCAACAACCAAGGCAATAACTAAGCTCTAAGTTAAATGTAGGCTCATTTAATTCAATATTACACTTGTATTCCTTAATTTCTGTTACCTTATTTATTGCACGTACCAGAAAATGACAAAAGTTATAAACCTTTCTAATTATTCTACCAGAAATTTCCCAGAACTTAATAATACACTGCATACTCTTAGGGAAAATATAAAATAACTAATTTCAATAAATCCTTGTTCTTAAATGAAGATCACAACAGTCTAAAACATGGTTACAATCTTCTGTTTCAGAACCTGAATGAAAATGCAATGCAGCTATATAATTTGTGCAAGTAACTTAACCTTTACAGGTTCCAACTTTCTTCTTTGTAAAATGAGGAATTTGGAGAAGATGTTTACCCTGTTAAGATGGTTTTGTTCCTGAATCCTTTCTCTGAGATAGGGATTTTAGATCTAATCTAAGGACCCAGGGACAATCCTATCTTAACTGAATTAATGTAGACCAATAAAACTCACCAATAGCATAAACTTCTTTTAGAGTGAATTTCAAGTTATCAGAGTCTATTCTCATCAACATATTTCTACTTCTAAATGTGTGAAGTCCTTGTCACTAAGTCTTCCCTGAGTGATCTAGCAGTTTTTTCAGTCTTAGTTTGGGAACAGAGAAGTACCCCAAGGGACAGAAGGGCAGGAATCCAACCAAAGCCCTGATGCTTGGAAAATCCTGGTCTCTTTCCTCTCTTATCCTCTCTTAGGGGAGAATTATTCTTGCCTGACTCCCGAGCTCTGGTGTATTTCATTTTTCTTTCCTTTCTACTGGCGCTTATTGGTCAGTGACCTTACAAACTGAACTGAAAAGCCCAGGGAATTGGGGAGGGAGAGGATAGAAGACATGAGGGACAATTATTTTAGAACCTCTAGAACTCAACTTCATTGCTTTTTTTCCCCAGGTCTTGGCACTGCCCCTCATATTAGAATGGAGGGGCCTGTGGAAAAAAGGATCCAATTGGTGTGCATCTCAAGGGGGTGGTTCCCAGAACCCCAGGCAAAGTGGAGATATGTTGGGGGAGATGAACCACTTCCCTCAAAGATTCAGATCATGGTCATTGATGGGCTATTTCATGTGGAGATGTCCCTTGTGATTAGAGAAAACAGTTCTGTGAAAAATGTATCCTGTTCCATCTATAATCCCATCCTTGATGAAGAGAAGGTGTCCTTCATTTATATCCCAGGTTAGTGAACAGAATGGCAAAGGGGTTATTGTGGCTGTAAGTGGTGGCTAAGAAGAGAGCTATCTGAAATCTCATCAGAGACTTGGATCCCTTAGGGAGAGAACATTCACTCTGAGGGGGAAATAGCAAGGAATTAATGGGGTTGTGAGGAAGTTAAGTTCCTACTATTAAAAAAGTGCCAATTCTGTATATGCATTTTAATTTGGTTGAGAGAGAAAATGGTTTACTTCTCTTTCCTTTAGAATTTATACTTTAGGGGCAGCTAGGTGGTGCAGTGCACCACCCTGGAATCAGGAGGACCTAAGTTTAAATTCGGCCTCAGACACACAATACTCACTAGCTGTGTGAGTCTGGGCAAGTAACCCCAATTGCCTCACAAAAAACCAAGAGAGGGGGAGAGAGAGAGAGAGAGAAAGAGAGAGAGAGAGAGAGAGAGAGAGAGAGAGAGAGAGAGTGAGTGTGTGAATTTATACTCTAGACCATGGTGGGGAACCTTTGGCCTCCAGGCCACATGTGGCCCTCTAGGTCCTTAAGTGTGACCCTTTGACTGAATGCAAACAATTTGTTCTGTGAAGTTTGGATTCAGTCAAAGGGCTGGACTTGAGGACTTAGAAGGCCACATGTGGCCTTGAGGTGGCAGGTTCTCCACTCCTGCCTAGGCTTTGTGGTTTAGAGAGGAGCCATGACTAGCAATGTAAGCATGTATTGGAGTCCATAATTATTGTTAGTATGGTTCTTTAATATCATTTGTAAATTATATTTAAAAAGATAATTATTTTCACTGTCATCTATTATTTCTACAAATGTTAATTGTGGGTTTTAACTGATGAGGTTACGTCTATTTTTTGTTTTGCAGAAAAGCTTGATGAAGAACTTGGTAAGTTATTTTTCCACCTCAAGAAAATAAATAACACTTTGTCTCTTCTGATATATTCAAGTAATTAATTTTATTTCCACCATTCCCATTTCTCATTTAGAGGAGCCTGTAGTCTTCTTAGGATTTTAAGTCTTTTGACTCCATTTCCTTTAACACTTAGTTCAAGGTTTATTAAAGTTTACCCCTTCCCTCCCATACTCCTAACATTCTTATTGCCTTTTCTTAAAATCTGAAATTCATTCACTATTGCCTCTTCTTCTTGGGTAGAAGGGTGATGGGGCAAAGAATCTCAGATATTGTCATAATGACCAAAGGAACTCTGGAATCCTGGTTCTCCCAGAGAGAGGCCAAGGGGGAAACAAAAACTCCCTGTTTTGAGAGTACCCCATACATAGTTTGTATCCTGATAACTCAGTGAGCACATAATAGTAACTCAATGAATAATTATTAATTGAATTTATTATTTTTTTCACATTCTAAATGCCTGACCAAGTATGATGTTATAGGTGACTCACTTTTTTTTTGCTTTTCTCTGTTTAAAAATTAAATTTAAAACATTAATAGGTATTTATTTTCTCTCCCTGTAAGTCACATTGAAAAGAAAAAGAAGAAAACAAATACAATTTTTTCTAATAAATAAGTATAGTCAAGCAAACAAATCCCCAAGCTAGCCATGTCCAAAAATGTACATCTAATTTCATGTCTTGTGTCCATCAGCTTTCTTTCAGGATATAGGAAGCGTGCTTCATCATCAGCCCTCTAGAACTGTATTTGGTCGCTTTAATGAACAGATATTTTCTCAACATTTTTAAGATGTTGTCCTTGTGTAAATTATTCTTTTGGTTCAATTCACTTTTGTCTGTATCAGTTCATGCAAGTTTTCCCAGTTTTCTTTGAAACTATCTCTTTCCTTGTTTATTTCAGGCACAAGTGTTCCACTATATTTGTATGCCATCATTTGTTCAGCCATTCTGCAATTGTTGGGCACCTCTATAGTTGTCTCTTGTCTGCCACAACAAAAAGCTGCTAAATTATTTTTGGGCAGAGCAGTTCTCTTCCTCTTTTTTCCTTTATCTCATTGCAGTATAAGCCTGGGTTAAACAGTATACAGAGTTTAATACCTTTTTTGGGCATAGTACCAAAGTGCTTAACAGAATAGTTAGACCAATTCATAGCCCCACCAATATTATATTAATGTCCTCCTTTTCCCCCTTACAATCCTTCCAACTTTTTGTCATTTCCCTTTTCTAATCTGATGTGTGTGAGATGAATCTTCAGTTGCTTTAATTTATATTTTTCTATTGATAAGTAATCTGGAATATTTTTTAAAGATGACTATTGATAGCTTAGATTTCTTCCTTTGGAAAATTTCTGTTCATATCATTTGATTATTTATCAATTAGAGAATGGCTCTCAGTCTTATAAATTTGAATTAACTCCTTGTATACCTTAGAAAAGTTATATCAGGTAGTTGGTATACTGGATAGAGTCAGATAGAGATACTTGGAGTCAGGAACACCTTAGCTCAAACACTATCTCAGACACTAGCTGTGTGACCCTGGGCAAGTCACTTAACTTCTTTTTGCTTCAATTTCCTCTTCTGCAAAATGGAGATAATAATGCTATTTACTTTACAGGGTTGTTGTGAGGATCAAATGAGATAATCTCTCTAAAGTGCTTTTTGAACCTTAAAGTACTATATAAATGATATCTATTATTGTCATTATTATATGAGATCTTTCATAGAGAAACTTATTGCAAAGGCTCCCCACCTACCCAATTGACTATTTCCCTTCTAATCTTAGATGTATTGGTTTTGCTTGCACAAAAAATTTAAAATTTCATATAATCATAATTGTCCATTTTATCTTCTTTGATCCTGTCTATCCCTTGTTTGGTCACAAATTCTTCCTCCATTCATAAATCTGAAAGGTCATTTCTTCCTTCCTCTTTTATGATGTGACCTTTCATATCTAAATCATGCATGCATTTGGATCTTATCTTGATATGTAATATGAGTTGTCAGCCTAAATCTAATTTCTGCCATACTACTTTCCAGTTTTCCTAATAGTTTTGTCAAATAGTGAGTCCTAAATCTGTAGCTGTAGTGTTTGGGATGATTGATCACTATACCAGTGTGTTCATTTGCTTCTATGTGTTGTTTACCCAATCTATTCTACTGACTAATTTTTCAGTTTTTTTCAAAGAACTGGTACCATAGCTTTGAGATTATCTGTCGTATAGTTTACTATCTGTGCTTGTAGGCTCCTTTCCCATTAAAAAAATTACTTCTCTTATTTGAACTTTTTTCCTTCAGACGACTTTTGTTATTATGTTTCCTGGCTTTATAAAGTAATCCTTTGGCCGTTTTGATGGGTATGGCATTGAAAACATAATTTAATTTAGATAGTAGTGTCATTTTTATGGTCTTGACTTTGCCTACCTATGGGCAACTACTATTTCTCCATTATTTAGCTATGTCTTTATTTCCATAAAGTATTTGGTAATTGTATTCCTGTAGTTCCTGTGTATAGGTAAAATTCAAAGTATTTTATATATACTGTGGTTTTTTAAAAATAGAATTTCTCTTTTTATTCCTCTGCCCCTTCTTTGTTGGTAGTATACAGAAAAGTTGATGATTTATGTGGGCCTATTTTGTATCCTATACTGAATTTATTGTTCCAATTAATTTTTAATTGATTCTTTAAGATTTTCTAAATAAATCATCATATCATATGTAAAAACTACACTTTCATTTCCTTTTATTCTTTTGCTTATTCCCTCAATTTCTTTTTCCTGTCTTATTGCTATAGCTAACACTTCTAATAATATATCAACTAGTAGTCCTCATGATGATTTGCATGTTGACAGCATGTCAGGTATTTTATTAGGCTTTGTTCCTGATACACCTTTGTTTCCAAGAGGAAAGAAGTAGGTTTTTTTCTCTGTCCCTTTGAGACTTTATTCTATATCCTTTTTTTTTAACATTCACTTCCATAAGATTTTGAGTTCCAAATTTTCTCCCCATCTTTCCCCTCCCCTCACCCCAAGATGGCATACAATCTGATATAGATTCCACATATACATTCATATTGAGCTTATTTTCACATTAGTCATAATGTAAGGAGGCATTAGAACTAGTGGGAGAAACCACAAGAAAGAAGAAGCAAACAAACAAAGAGGTATCAAGGAATGTGCTTCTACCTGCATTCAGACTCCACAGTTCTTTTTCTAGATGGGGACAGCATTTTCCATCATGAGACCTTTGGAGTTGTCTTGGATCTTTGCATTGCTGAGAGGAGATGAGTCTGTCAATCTTAGTCATTGCACATTGTGGCTCTTACTGTGTACAGTGTTCTCCTGGTTCTGCTCACTTCACTCGGCATCAGTTCATGTCAGTCTTTCCAGGTTTCTCTGAAATCTGCCTGCTCATCATTTCTTATACCACAATAGTATTCCATTACATTCATATACCACAACTTGCTCAGCCATTTCCCAACTGATGAGCATCCCTTCAATTTCCAATTCTTGGCCACCACAAAAAGAGCTGTTTTAAATATTTTTGTGCATGTGGGTGCTTTTCCCATTTGTTTGATCTCTTTGGGATACAGACCTAGAAGTGCTATTGCTGGGTCAAAGTGTATGCACATTTTTGCAGCCCTTTGGGCATAGTTCTAAATTGCTCTCCAGAATGGTTGGATCAGTTCACAACTCCACCAACAGTGCATTACTGTTCCAATTTTCCCCACATCTTCTCCAGCATTAATTATTTTCCTGTTTTGTCATGTTGGCCAATCTGATAGGTGTGAATGTGGTACCTCAGAGTTGTTTTGATTTGCATTTCTCTAATCAATAGTGATTTAGAGTATTTTTTCATATGATTATAGATAGCTTCAATTTCTTCATCTAAAAACTGCTTGTTCATGTCCTTTGACCATTTATCAATTGGAGAATGACTTATATTCTTATAAACTTAACTCGGTTCTCTATGTATTTTAGAAATGAGGCCTTTATCAGAGATATATTCTATATGCTTTTGAGGGAAAGAAATGCTACATTTAATGTGGGGCATGAAGAAAAAAGTGCTGAATTTGGAGTCAGAAGACTTGAATTCAAGTCCCAGGTCCTCTAGTTTCATGAGACTTTAGGGAAGCTGCAGGATGAATGCCTGAAAAGCACTTGTTAAGTATTTACTATGCATCAAGAACTCAGCTAAGCATTGTAAATACAAATACAAAAGTCAGTCAGTTCCTGCTTTCAAGGAGTTCTAGTCTTAATAGGGGAAAACAACATGTAAGGCAATGGTGGCAATGAAAGGGTGCTCTGTCCTAGAAGGCACAGGGATGGTAAGTTACACCATTAGGTGAGTTTATTGACATGGTTTCTCCAAAGGTTTTGAAGTTCAATTTTCTCACCCGGGAAATAGGGATAGTAGTACTTATACTACCAGCCTTCCCAGGTTGTTACGAGTATGAAATGAGATTATCAATCAATCCACCCAGTTAACAAACATTTATTATTTGACTTCTTTGTGCTGGGCACTGTCCTAAGTGCTGTATGTACAAAACCAAAAGTGAAACCTCACTGTTCCCAAGAAGCTTAACATCAAATGGGGAGGACAGTCATACATATACATATAGGTACATGTAAGACATGTACGAAGCAGATACAAGGTAACTGGGGAGGGAAACACAGTGACAGCTGGAGAGACAAGGAAGGGCCCCCAGAAGGTGGTAGTGGAGATAAATGTTCAAGAAAATCAAGAGCAAAGAGAGAATTCTAGACACGGCTGTAATGTAATGTATTTAATAGCTACAATAGCTGGGGAAGGGGGAAGGGCAGTAGGGAAGAGTGCTGGACTTGGGGTCAGGAAAGCCTGAGTTTAAATCCCAACTCGGACATTTATTAACTGTATGACCTTGGTCAAGTCACTTAACCTCTCTGAGCCTCAGTTTTCTCATCTGTAAAGTGGAGATAACAATAGCATTTACCTCATAGGGTTGTTGTGAGGATTAAAAGAGATAAGTATAGTACTTCACAAACTTTAAAATGCTATATGAATATTAGTTATTATAAAGCTCAGTTTGTATCATTATTATTATTATTTCTTCCATAGCAAATCTGCCTTACTCTTTAACTTGCTAACTCTAGTTTGAGCTTTTGTTTTCTACTTTCTTAAACAGCTCTGAGAAAAGTGATTGGACCTGCCCACTCCATTATCACCAGTCTGGGTGAAGATGTCTTGTTACCATGTCACCTCTTCCCTGAAATGAACGCTCAGCACATGGAGGTGGGCTGGATCCGATCTCAGTTCTCTGAAACTGTCTACATGTATTGGGATGGAAAGGATCAGAAAGAGGAACAGATGGCAGAATACAGAAGAAGAACAGTATTTACAAAGGACACTATCACTGATGGGAGTGTTACTTTGAAAATCAGAAATATCAGAGTTTCTGATGGTGGTCAGTACCAGTGCTATTTTGAGAAAAACCAAGTGTTTCAAAGAGCAATGTTGAAAATAAAAGTAGTAGGTAAGTTATTGGTTTGTATTTTTATATAATAAATTGGATAGCATTTCATATCAAAGAGTATTACTAATCTGTAGATTACAACGTGGAGTATTTTTGCATCTATAGATTCCTCATTGTCATGCTTTCACATAAATTTGATAGATTTGGGGGCTAACTCTTAAGTTTTCAATTTCTTCCATCTATTCTTAATGTTTATTATTGACTTTATGTAATTGCAGCTGGAAATCAGAATCTCCAGTTAACAGGGAGGGGTAAAGACAAATTTATTTTTTCAAACTTTGTTGACTAGAGTAAATAAACATAGAGCAGAGGTGTCTTGGTGATTCAGTGGATGGATTAGAGGATGACATTAATTCTGACATCGTGAAACAGAAAAAGCAAGACTGAGGATATTAGGAATTAGATTTCTAATATAATTTTTCTACATTAATTAAAGATTCAGAAGTCCATCTACTAGAATCCTCTGATGAGAAATCTTCAGTCTTTGTATTGCTTCTTCTCACATTTCTCTATTCTCTATTTATTCTGTTTATTAATTCTCTATTTACTTATTTATTTTCTATTTTTGTACTCACAACTTAGTTAAAGACTAAATGGAGAAAAAAACATTAAAAAAGAGAACATATGTTAAAAAAAGAGACAGATCAATGAAGGAAAACTAAAAATCTATTGCAAAAACATGTGCCATCTCCTGTGTGTATGTGTGTGTGTGTGTGTGTGTGTGTGTGTATACACAAGATACTTTATTCTCTGCAAAATTTTACATGCTGAGGTCAGTTGGGCTTGGGCAGATGTTCTCTTATGTACAAAACTGAAGAAAGTGGGTCTCTGCAGAGAAGTCCAAATTTGACTATGATAGAGAATGGAATAAGAGGAACAAATAATGTGATACCAGGGATTTATCTAGTTGTGCATTGAGGTGGTACTAGGTCTGGAATTAAGGTAAAAAGAAATGAGGCTGTTCTTAGTGGTAGTCACTTCCATGTAGAGGTTGCCTATTGGGCCTGGAGAGTCTTTTATACTACATCCTCCTACTGGGCATCTGAAATGTAGGGACTCCTGGGGCAGGCCATTGTCTGTTTTACCAGCTCCACATGTTCTGGATTCATGGGTATGAAGCTTCTACTGCTCAGTTTATAAACTAATGGAAGGCAAGATTAAGGGCTGTTCAGAAATAGGGATATGCACCTCTGTCTTGACAGCCAAGGTTTCATCTTGGCTTGGGGCTCAAGAGCTGTAGTTAAAAAATTTTATTACTAATTTGTATAAATGTATAAAACTTTTTTAACAGCTAGAGTTTAAACTGGATGTAGGATTTTCCTTTGTCCTAGGCTTATTGAAATTAAATTAAATGAGCTCATTTAAGGTCGGGTGTTAGTTGAATTTAGGTGTCTGGAGCAAGAATCTCCAACCTCTCTAGGGGGAGAAAAGTGGGGATGGGAAAGAAGGGAAGGGGGGGACAAGGATTTATTTAGCATATATTATGTGTGAAGCATTATGCTAAGCACTTTAGAAGTGCTATTATGACCTCAATTTTACAGTTGTGGAAACTGAGGCAGACAGAGGTTTAAGTGACTTTCCTGGGGTCACACAGTTAGTATGTGTTTGAGGTCAGAGTTGAATTCAAGTCTTCTTGACTCCAGGTTAGGAAATCTTCTAGTTCTCTATCCACTGAACCACCTAGGTTCCATAGAAGGAAATAGCAAGAGAAAATAACACTCAAAGCCAAACCCAATGGGAGGAGATTATTTGTTGTTTCTCCTTCATTCTCAAAGAAGACCAATGACGTGGGGTGATGTTTTGACTTGTGTATGAACTGGATTTAAGAGATGATAGGTGTGTTCTGAAGAGGAATCAACCTCTCTAACTTCTAGAAAAGAGGAAAGAAAGTCCTTTTCACTCCATCTCTGCTCTCCATAGGTTGGTTTTACATGAATTACCTGGCTAAGTGAGTTCTAAGACTCTCTCAGCCCACCTCTCCAAATATTCCAATTTCACACACACAGCTATGTCCTAGGAATGGGTACCTATTCCTGGCTGTTCAAGGAAGAGAGAGAAAGATGGGAAATATGGATAGAGAGTATAATAGAGTGGGGCTGGGAAGCAAAAAGTTTGGGAGGTAACATGGGTCATATTCATGTCTACCCTTACTGTTGTATATGTTTCTGTGAAAATTTCAGGATATTTTCCTGAGAGTGATTTTTTTAGACTTAGGAAACCAGGACGAATATTGTGAGAAAGATCCCCAGATATGTAGCCAAAACTTTCCACTCCTTTAGTCTGAGATCAATATCAGGGATTTGGGAGCCAGAAGACTTTGATTCCTGGGTCTACCATGTATTAGCTTTTACATTGAACACATCACTTAAACCTTCTAAGACTCAGTTTCTTTACCATTAAAATTGTGCATTACCTACTGTATTGTTACAAAGATAAATTCTTACATGTAAAATTGTTACAAAGATAAATTACAGTATACGTGGGAACAAAGTGCTAAATAAATGTTAACTATTACATACTTACGAAAGGTGTTCTTCCCTTTCCCACTCCTAGTTATCCTGTATCACCTTCATACTCCCAGCATGAGGGGAAGTAGGACCTTGGTCATATCTGCTGCTCTCGCAGGGTTTGCTGTTCCCATTATCTTTGATCTCAGGAGTCTGGTGATTGTCACACAGTTTGCTGTCTTCTTTTTCTACTTCCTGTGGGATCCGTGGAGGTGTTTGCTCTTCCTTCTTTGTGTCACTTTTTCCTGTGTGTGAGACAGCTCATATGCACCGCTTACATCAGAGAACACCTAGGTATATTGTCAATCTGCCCTCAGCCCATAAAGCCCAGAGGAGTTGTTGGGATTGATTCATAACCCCCTTTCTGTACTGTACCTATTTCTCTCCTTTCCCTCACTTAGCTAATTGAATAGTCCCTCTAACAATTTCTTTATCTGTAGCTATGACAAAAATTGAATCCAGTGTTGATGGACCTGCTCAACCTATCCTTGTCAGGCTAGTAGCAGATTTCATGCCATGGAGGACTTTTCTAAGAAGAACACAAAGTGCATGAAAATAACAAGATTCTGCCCCTATTTCTACCTTTCTTGTTCATATATCATGATGATGCTGAAGGGGCATGAGAGCAAAGGTGGGGAAAATAGTGGGGAGGACAGCATTAATGAAGGAAGTCATTCTGGAGGGAAACAGTAGTGAAAGTATGCCATATTCAAACCTCAGGAGATGACCATTTTTGGTCCCATTTCTTGGAAAGTGTGTGTGGAGAAGCCACACTGGAGATGAAAATATAAATTCAGATGTTTGGTTTGGTAGTTGGTGATTCTCAGTTTCATTTAAAGCAGTGGCTATATTGAGATTCACCAATACCTTAATGGTAGCCCAGATCCAATGTGATTCATAACCCCTTCTCTGCTTCAGTTTGAAATTGCAACATTTCCTAGGAAAGTGTTGAATAAATTTTCAATTCTTGAGCCTGACATTCAAAGCCATCCATTATATAGCCCTAATTTAACTCTCCAATTTTAGCTTCCAATATTCCCTACATACACCCTCTGCTCCAACTAAACTGATTTCTTCTCTATAGATAAGTATGAAATACCACAGACTCCTCTCTGTCTTTCCTTACAAATTTTCTCCGTTTGGAATCCCTTCCATTTACTCACTTATCCAAGTCCTTTAAAGTCCAGTTCAATTCTTTGAACCCTTATGCTCTTTGTTGTCTGTGCCCCTCACACACAATTCTTGAATGAGTGCTTTCAATTGGGAGATGGGCTGTATTCCTCTGTGTATTGCTACATAAAACTGCTCCCATGAACATTTTGTTTACAATGATTACCTGTGTGTCTCTGAGTGACACTTGCTATAGGTGATTGACAGGTAATTAAGATGCAAAGAGGTGGGAAATGTATATAAGGCCTTTCAGGTAAAATGCGAAAAATAAACAAAGCTCATGAGCAGAAAAGCTGGTTATTAATCTGTCCCAATTCTAAAGAGGTGGAAAGGATTGAGAAGACCAGATGTCTCCCTGGAACAAGCAGCAGGCATCTCTACTTTAGGCCAATGGAGCCTATAAGCTAAGGGGTGAATCTGGGCTTACAGCTGGGTTGGATATGCTGTGGGGTTCCAGAGAAAAATACTCTGAAACAGAAAGACATTTTGTATATATCCTTGAATTTCTGAATGAATTTATTTTTTATTTTTTAGTTACAAAGACCAGAATATCAGCAGCTGGGCTTTGGGTATGTGTGGCTCTTTTCATTTGTTTCATCATAAATAAAGAAATTAATTGTCAGAAAAAAGAGGGAGAAGACACTGGAAACCAGCACGTATGCCAAAGAGAATGTTGTCAAAGAGAGACCTCAGACTGGGAGCAAAACCAAGTAATTAGAGCGTCATTGAATAAAGAGAACTATGCAAATGGACGAGAAGAGAAGAGAGACTCAGGAAAAGACTCAGAGTACTGGGGAAAAAGTGAATACCTAGCCAAGGAGAGAGAGTCACTGACTAAAGTAATAGACTCCTTGTATAAAGAGAGAGAATCCTTGGTTACTAAGAGAGAATATTTGAATAAAGAGAGAGAATCCTTGGCTAAAGAAAATGATTTCTTGACTTAAGAGAAGGAATCCTTGGGTATAGACAAAGAGTCATTGGCCAAAGAGAGACAATTCTTGGCTAAAGAAAGGGAATCCTTGGATACAGACAGAGAATTCTTGGCTAAGGAGAGGGAATCTTTGCATATGGACAGAGAATCCTTGGCTAAAGAAAATGAATTCTTGGTTAAAGAGAAGGAATCCCTGGATACAGACAAAGAGTCATTGGCCAAAGAGAGAGAAGTCTTGGCTAAAGACAGGGAATCCTTGAATACAGACAGAGAATTCTTGGCTAAGGAGAGGGAATTTTTACATATGGACAGAGAATCATTGGCTAAAGAGAGAGAATCCTTGGCTAAAGAAAATGAATTCTTAAAGAGAAGGAATCCTTGGATACAGACAAAGAGTCATTGGCCAAAGAGAGAGAATTCTTGGCTAAAGACAGGGAATCCTTGAATACAGACAGAGAATTCTTGGCTAAAGGGAGGGAATCTTTGCATATGGACAGAGAATCATTGGATAAAGAGAGACAATCCTTGGCTATAGAGAGGGAATCCTTGGATACTAACAGAGAGTCATTGAATAAAGAGAACTATGCAAGTAGACAAGAAGAGCAGAAAAACTCAGGAAAAGACTCAGAGTACTGGGGAAAGAGTGAAAACCTGGTCAAGGAAAGAGAGTCATTGTCTAAAGAAATAGACTCATGTACAGAGAGAGAATCCTTGGATACAGAGAAAGAATCCTTGGATACAGACAAAGAGTCATTGGTTAAAGAGAGAGAATTCTTGGCCAAAGAGAGGGAGTCCTTGAAAACAGAGAGAAGGTCATTGAAGAAAGAGACAAAGTCCCTGGGTAAAAAGGGACAATCTTTTACTCCAAAAGAAGAAGTTCTTGGTAAAGAGAAGAAATTTCAAGTTAAGAAAAAAATGACTCGTTTAGGCCCTCTAAATTTGTTAAGGAAAAAGAAAATCTAGTCAAGAAGACAATACCAGGACACACGTAACATGACAAAGAAGGTTGTGCCACAAGATATATATAGGATTTTTTTTTTGAGACATATGAGTGAAGGATGATAAGTGACATAATCTCATCAAGGGGAAAAGGAGGGCCAGCCCTTGGAAGAATCAATGGAATTATTGACCTCTGGAGTAGAGAATCTCTACCAGTATTCATTTATTTAGCTTGTCCTAGGGAGATCTCCCAGAGACTTGGGGCTCTGCTTTGCTTCTCTGCTTTCCAGGCCTACCTGGAGGCAGGAAAAATTTCCTCCCAGAGACATCTAGGCCTAAATTTGGAAAGCTCCTGACTTGTTTGTTTCTTTTTTGCCCCTCTCCTTTCCCGGCACAGGCCAGGCACGAAATTGAGGATAAATGACTATGAATGAATAAGACAGGAAGGAAAGGAAGGAAAGGAAGGAAAGGATCATGGCTTAGTGGATCAATGGATGGCCTGCCTTTTTCTCTTCTCTTGTTCCCTTTACCCTTATCCCAGGAAATAGGGCTGCATCCTGGTGCCCATTCTCCTGTTTGGGACCTGTGGCCTGTGAGCCACTGAGGAAGTCAGAGCTGAGATGAATCTGGCCTTCCTGGGGATCTTACCTAGAATCTGGGGTACTGGGTAGTGACCTGCAGTAGATACTCGCCCAGGAATACCCAGGTAGTCAGTTGCTTTGTCCCTCTGCAGGGCCCTCCATGAGGATTATCAGCATAAAAACTCTTATTGGTACTCTGACTGGTACTGTGATTGTCATAAACATTGCCCCTTTGTAGACAAGTTCTATAGTAAGTTCCCCACATGGGGAAAACATGGAATCACTTCCCTTTAAAAAATTTTTTTTAAAAGAATGGTCTGGAAGTGTATCAGGGGTCTAAGAGACCTCAAGCGAAGGTGTATCCTGGTGGACAGATTAAAATCTCAATATTAGGTAAGATTTTTTTCAAATGTTCAGAAAAAAATCTACCAATCCTCACCCCCCATTTTAAACTTTACCTTAGACTTGTTCTTGACCTTGACCTTGACCCTGAGGCCCATCCAACAGTAGGAAGAGGCCTAGTTAAACTGCCCTGGCTTTCTGGGTGGGTAATAGCTGGCCCTGAGGGTCTCCATCTACTTCCATTCCTTTTCCTGGACCTACAAAAGATCTCAGAGCCTGGGGGCTCTGCCTTTCCTGGTATGGCTGCAGGCAAGGAAAGGATTCCTATCTAGAGAGAGCTAGGCCAGGAGTTAGAAGTCCTTAAACTTCCCTGGTTCTTATCTCTCTCTCCCCTTTCTCAGAACAGGCCAAGTCTCTGAAAACGAGGGTGAGTGAGTGAGCTGAAAGAGTAGTTGAGTTGATGCATGATGACCCTGGCTACACTATTTCTTGTCTTTGTCTTCCATTTTTTCTCCCCCTCATGTCTCATTTCACTTATAATTTATTTAACTGAATCTTCGTGAGCCCTAGAACCAGAGCTGTAAAGACTTTTCAGAATGGAAGTGTCAGTTGTTCAGTCAGTCAATAAACTTTTATTAAACACATATTATGTGCCAGGCACTGTGCTAAATGCTGGGGATACAAAAAGAGGAAAAAGACAGTTTCTTCCCTCAAGGACCTTCCAACCTAATGGAGGAATCAACAAGTAAACAAATATATACAAATATATCCATAGGATAAACAGAAATAATTAAAGAAAGGGAAGGCACTAGAATTAAGAAGAGCTAGGAAAGGCTTCCTATAGCAGGGGGATTTTAGTCAAGACCTAAAGGAAGCCAGGGGATCTAGGAGGTGGAGATGAGGAGGGAGAGCATTCTAGCAATGAGGGAGAGCCAGAGAAAATTCCTGGAGCTGAGAGATGGAGCATCTTGTTCAAGGAGCAGCAAGGTGTCCAATGTCACTGGATCAAAGAACATGTAGTGGGGAGTGAGGTGTAAGAAGACTGGAAAGTTGGAAGGGGCCTGGGCTATGAAGGGCTTTGAACATCAAACAGAGGATTTTGTGTTTGATCCTGGAGTTGATTGAATGGGCTGGAAGGGAGGTGTTGTATGACATGGTCAGACTCATGCTTTAGGAAAATCACTTTGATGGCTGAATGAATGTAGGATGGGTTGGAGTGAGAAGAGACTTGTGGCAGACAGACCCCAAGCAGGCTATTGCTATAGTTTAAATATACAACGAGAGAGCCTGCACTGCAGTGGTGGCAATATCAGAGGACTGATGCAGAAGGGGGGCCATTTGAGAGATGCTGCAAAGGAGGAATTGACAGGTTTTGAATATGAGGAGTTAGAGATAGTGGGGGGTTGAGAGACACCTAGGTTTCAAGTCTGAGGCACTGGGAGGAGGATGTTGCCCTCTACAGTAACAGGGAAGTTAGGAGGTGATGGGAGGGGGGAGTTTAGGGAGAAATATAATGAATTCACCTTTGAACAATATTGAGTTTAAGATGTCTACTGGACAGCTAATTTGCAATGTCTGAAAGGAAGTGGGAGATGCAAGATTGGAGATCAGCAGAGAGATTAGGGCAAGACAAATAGAGTTGAAAATCATCAACTTGGGGCAGCCACCTGAGTTCAAATCCAGCCTCAGACACAACACTTACTAGTTGTGTGACCTTGGGCAAGTCACTTAACCCCATTGCCTAGCCAAGAAAAAAAAAGAGAGAGAATGATCAGCGTAGAGATGGTAATTAAATCTAGGGGTACTGATGGAATCATCAAGTGAGGTAGTATAGAGGGAGAAGAGAAGAGGGTCCAAGACAGAACTGTGAAGGACACCTCATTTAGAGGGCATGATCTGGAGGAGGATCTAGCAAAAGAGACAGAGAAGGATCAGTCAGACAGGTAGGAGGAAAACTAGGAGAGAATGGTGTCCCAAAATTGTAGAGAGAAGAGAGGATCAAGGAGAAAAGGGGCAGTGATATTGTTAATAGCTGCAGAGAGTTCAAGGAGAATGAGGACTGAGGGAAAACCATTAGACTTGGCAATAAGAAGAGCATTGGTAACTTTGAAGAGGATACTTTCAGTGGAATGATGAGGGAACAGGGATGTGAAGGATAGAACCAACTAGGGTGATTAGAAGAATTAATAATCTCTTAATTTTCAGTGTTCCTTAGAGTATGAACTTCTTTTCATTTCTTTTTCAGTTGCTCTCCAGGAAGAAACTGGTAAGTTTCATTTTTTCTTTTAAATTTGACTCTGGTGCATAGAGTGCCAGCCCTGAAGTCAGGAGGATCTGAGTTCAAATCTGGCTTCAGATACTTAATACTCCTTAGTGTGTGACTCTGGCAAGTCACTTAACCCCAAGTGCCTCACCAAAAAAAATCTGACTCTGCTTTTATGACCCTTCTCTGATAAGTGGTTTCTGGCTTTGTCTAACGTGTATATGTCTCTCTCTTTCTGTGTGTTCTTTTTTAGAGAGAAGAAAGGCTCTGTACCAGGCAGGTGAGTGACCCTTATGTTTTCTCTTTATTCCCAGAGAAAGGAAAATAAATATTATTCCTATGGGATTGAAGATGAAGAGCCTAAGGGGAAGGTTAGATCTCTTAAGGTTATTTCTTACCAAGGCAATGTGGTAAAAGGGAAATAGTCTTGTGTTTTCAGTCAGGGGATTTCGGTTCTAATCAGAAGTATGCTACTAAAAGTTTAACTGCTAGTTCTCCAGAAAAAAAGTACAAAAAAAAGACATTTTAAAAAAAGTTTAATGTGCATTATTAACATTTTTCTATCACTTTCTTAGGCCTGTGCAATAAGCAATAAACCAAACTTTGATTTTTGCTGATTTCTGAAGTACAAATGCTCACACTAAAAATTTAACAATCTACTCTTAAGGCTGGTATGAGTTGGCTTCAGCTCATCTCTGGCCTTGAGGAAATTGCTCATCTTCTCTGGTTCTCAGTTTCCTCATCTGTAAAATGAGGGGTTTAGATGAGATAAACAAGAACCCACATTCCTAGGGTATTTCTAGGAGTCCCAGATGGCTCTCTGTTGTCACCTCTGCACATGGGGGAAAGTTATAGTGAGAGGTAAATCCAGGTTAGGCCACAGAGTTTAAAAAAAAAGTCAGTCATTAAAATGTATGTGACACTAATAAGACAATATCTAGGCTTCAGAAATTTGGTTTTCCCTTCCTCCCATTCACATCTGTCAGGACACTGATGAAAAACCTTTCTCTCTATCCCAAATAATTTTTCCTTTGTGCTTGTCTGTTTCTTCATCAGACTGGAGAAAGGCCCACCTCTATGCTGGTAAGTGATGCTGTTATTCTCTCTTGTCTGTCCTCATCAACACTGGGATAAGACTTATTCTATATGGCTTCAGAGAGCATTGTGGTGGTAACAGGGAGAGCAGGTGAATGACATGGCTTTAGAAAAATCACCTTGGCAGCTGAATAGAGAATAGAGCTGAAAGAGATTAGAGCTAGGGAGACTATTTAAAAGCTATTGTAAGAGTCTGAACACTGAATTAGGGTTGTGGGCATCTGAGTGAAAGGAAGTGCAAATATATGAGGGATGTCATGAATAAGAAAAGGTCTTTAGATTTGATAATTAAGAGGACACTGATAACTTTGGAGAAGGCAATTTCAGTTGAATGATGAGGTTGGAAGTCATATGAGGCAGCTAGGTGGCAAAGTAGAAAGAGCACTGGTCCTGGAGCCAGGAAGACCTGGGTGAAAACCTGATTTCAGATACTTACTAGCTGTGTGACCTTAGGCAAGCTACTTATCCTGTTTGCCTCAATTTCGTCAAGTGTAAAATGGGGATAATAACAGTATGAATGTTGCAGAGTTGTGAGGATTAACAGAGATAATATTTGTAAAAGTGCTTAGCACAGTGCCTGGCATATAGTATGCACTATATAAATGCTTCTACCCTTTTCCCTTTCCCATATTTCAAAGGGTTTTGAAGAGAGTGAGAGGAGAGGAAGTAGAGGCTCCAACTGTAGATGTAGATGAAGAGGAATTGAGTCACAAACAGCAGGAGAGTTGTGAGATTCCGGCTGGTAGGAATGGTAAGATCAAATGAGAGTTTCTTAAAGATGGGGAGATGTGGGTATTTTTAGCTTGCATGGAAGGAATCAGTAGATTGGGAAGGCTGAAGATAAAAAAGGGTAGGGATAATAATGGGAACAATTTGCTGGAGGAGTCGGAAGGATATAGGATCACGGACACTTCCCAAATAGTTTGCCTTGGCCAGAAGGGCCACCTCTTGATCTGAGACTCTAAGGAAGGAGGAGATAAGGAAAATATCTGAATGTTTTGATAGGAGGAGGGTAGGGTGCCATAGGAGGTTGAGAAGAGGAGAAGAGTTATTATTATTACTCCTCTTCCTTAATCATAGCCTGGAACATTACTCTCATTTGTAGGGCACCACACTTTAGAATGAACATAGACAAGCTGGGCACATTCAGAGGAAAATGATCATTGATGGTGAGAACACAGGAATCCTTACCATGTGAAGAATAGTTAAAGGAACTAGAGAGGAATAGACTTAGAGGGACATGATCTCAGTCATCAAGTATTTGTCTGTTATGAGGAAGAAAGATTAGTTTTGTTTTGTTTGACCCAGGACGATGGGGCTAAGAGCAAAGGGTGGTGGCTGGAAGAATAAGGAGGTGCTGGCTAACAATTAGAGCTACTCCAAAGCAGAATGAACTAGCTACAGAAGTAGAGAATTCTCCATAGGTAACAGTCTTCAAGCTGAAGTTAGACAACAACCTGTCCATGATATTGTAGAAGGGATCATTGCTCAAGTAGAGGACAAGATGACTTCTGAGCTGCCTTCCAATTGGGGGGCTCTATGAGGAGAGAATTCTTGAGCTGAATCTTGGAGGAGAAGGATATGGAAGGATATGGGAAGGAAAAGATAGTGATGGGGGTGATGGTGGTAGTACGGTGTGGTAAAAGGAAATAGGAATTGAATAAACCAAAGACTTGGATAAACAGCACATACAGAAAATGGAGTAAGCCCTGAGAAAGTATTGAAGAAAGAGAGCTGATAAAGATCACTCTGCGGGGCAGCTAGGTGGTGCAGTGGATAGAGCTCTGGCCTTGGAGTCAGGAGGACCTGAGTTCAAATCTGACCTCAGATACTTGACAGTTACTAGCTGTGTGACCCTGGGCAAGTCACTTAACCCCATTGCCTAGTTAAAAAAAATCCCTTTCCTCTCCCTCCCTCCCAAATCTGGGCCTTTATTCTTTTCCATCACACTCAGACCATGTTGAGTAATAGATATATGGTTTCCTATGAGGACAGTTTACAGAAGATGCTCTTCTCCTCACAATTTTCCCAAACTAGAGGGAAATCTTATAAGAACAGAGCAGTAGGGAGAGAGAAAGATCTTCATTCAGGGTATTTTCAGAGAGCTTTCTTGGGAACACTACCCTTTAGGAAAAGATCATGAAAATAGAAGCTGAGCAAATCCATGAACCCCTCAGAAGGTATGTTGTGAGACTCTTCTCATTGCATATTTGTGCTGTTTCTTTTCAGACTGGAGGAAAGAACAGTTCCAGGCAGGTAAGTAACTTGAGTTTTCCTTTTAAGTCTCAATCCCAGTTGCTTTGTTGATAAGTGGAGGGGAGTAGATTAGGAGAGGATGTTCTTATTTTGAAATAAATAGAGAGACTTCCAAAGATAGGAGAGAATGGGGGAGGAAAGAGGGCACTTCCTCAATACATTTTTCCAGACTTCTAACCCTAGGAGATAAGAAGGTAGCTCTTTGGGGAGGGTAAGAACAGGTGTACCAAATTCCATAAGGATGTCAATAAAGGAAGAGCAGCCAGAGACCTGATGATCATCACAATTGCCCAAGATCCTTGTCCTGTCTCTTAAAACTTCACTAATCTGTCTAAGTCATATCTCTGTGATTGTTGAGGTCAAGTTGAATTAGGCAACTATCCTTGAGAATCACCAGAAATTCTCCAGACTGATCTGGCTCCGTACCCCTCCTTAGAATCAAGCATATCTCAGTGACACCTTGCAAGCCCCCTGGGCCTCCTTGTCCCCTACATCATTGGGTCTGTTGCATTTAAAATTGTTCAGTCTGCAAGAAAAACCACTGAGGCAGAGCTCTGAGCCAATGGTACTTTATTAAAAGGTCCATGGTCCATTATAATGAAGTGGACCTCAGATCTTCCTCACAACATGAGCTGTTCCCTTCCTCCAGGAACTTGGTTTTACAGTGCTTGATACCCAGACAACATAGGTCAAACAGACCAAAAATACAGAATCTCATTGGTTGGTAGAACTTGATCTTGACCCTCCAGGAGGTTCAACACAAAATACAGAATCCCATTGGTTGACCAACAGGCCAATGAGCAGACCCTAACATACGTATCTTGACTTATCAGGAGGTCCTGATGAGCACATCCATGGAATGGTAGAAATGCAGACTGCAGGCTGGCAACCAGGCCCATTTGTTGGTCAAGTGCTCATGGTCATCTCCCCATGCTGGGCAGTGGAGAGATGACAACAGATGGAGGGGCAACAAAAATAGGTTGGGGGCTTTCCATGTAATTGAGTCATTTCCACCACACTGGGCTTGGTCACCATAACAAGGAAAAACAAGGGTAGAGGTCCTCTAGTTGGCTTCTTATGATTAAGCAAGTGAACTTACAATCTGCAGTTTATACCTCTGAGGCCTAATATCAGAGCTTGTAATCTCTAGCCCTATGAAATCATATAAAACTGACTAATGCTGATTGGAATAAAATGGGATTCCAACAAAATAAGGGTCCAATTAATCATCTATCACAGGACTGATCCAGCATTAACCTCATAGCTCTTTTTTGCAGTGCATGTGACTCTAGATCCAGACACAGCACATCCAGAACTTATTTTGTCTGAGGAATGGAGACGTGTTATCCGGGGAGGACGTCCTCAGAATTTCCTTGACACTGCTAAGAGATTTGACTCTCTGCCTTGTGTTCTGGGCCAAGAGAAAATCACCTCAGGGAGACATTACTGGGAAGTAGAGGTTGGAAACAGAGGTGACTAGGAGTTGGGTGTTTGCAGAGAGGATGTGAAAAGGAAAGGAGAGATCACAGTGTCCTCTGAGAATGGCTTCTGGGCTCTCAGGCTATCTAATGACAAATATTGGGCCCTCTCTTACCCTCCAACTTGCCTCTCCTTGAGACAGATCCCTCACAAAGTGGCCATTTTCGTAGACTATGATTTTGGAGATGTCTCATTCTACAATATGAATGATGGATCCCATATCTAAAATTTTACTTCAGAGTTCTTTTGTGGGGCCCTCTGCCCTTACATTAGGCTTTGGTCATGTGACCAAGCTCCTGTGACTGTCTGTCCAGAGCCTTAGAGAAATTTCCTATCTCTACCTACCTGCCTTCCCTCTGGTTCTGGAAGGGGTGTGTGTGTGTGTGTGTGTGTGTGTGTGTGTGTGTGTGTGTGTGTGCATGCTTAAATCCTTAGACCAAGTTCCATCCTTGTTCCCTGTCAATTCTTCTGTGTCTAATTGGGTACCACTTTCCCCCTCCAATTTTGTTTCTGACTGTCTCATGTTACAAAATAAAATTCAATTGGTTTTTGCAATGCTTTAAAAGTTAATTCTTTTAGGTTATTTCTCCATCAGCCTGTTTCTTCCTTCCTTTCCATGCAAGGTATGATGCCAGAAGAAAGGAAATCTTCCTTTGGGTTCTTTCTCTGTCAGGAAAAATAAGACAAAGTTTTGTCTCAGGGGGCTTCTCTCTCTGCTTACTCCTCTTAATTATAAGAGTATAGGATTCCAGGACTTTGAAGAGAAAGACACCTTAGAGATCATCTAGAATCAGGCCCATTAATCATTTTTTTTCCTTAATAGTATTTTATTTTTTCCTTTCAACATTCACTTTTGTAAAATTTTGAGTTCCAAATTTTTCTCCCTCCTTCCTTCCCATTTTCCTTCCCCCAAACAGCAAGTAATCTGATACAGGTTATACATGTACAATCATGTTAAACATATTTTCATATCAGTCATATTGTGAAAGAAGAATCAGAACAATAGAGAAAAACAAGAAAGAGAAAACAAAAACAACAAAAAAGGTGAAAATAATATGCTTCTGTCTGTATCCAAACTCTATAGTTCTTTCTCTGGATGTGGTTAACATTTTCCATCACCAGTCTTTTGGAATTGTCTTGGATCATTGTATTGCTGAGAAGAGCCAAGGCTATCATGACTAATCATCTCACAGTGTTGCTGTTACTGTGTACAATGTCCTCCTGGTTCTGCTCACTTCACTCAGCATCAGTTCATATAAATCTTTCCAGGTTTTTCTGAAATCTACCTGCTCATCATTTCTTATAGCACAATGGTATTCAGTCATTCCCTAATTGATGCTCATCCCTTCAATTTTCAATTTTCTGCCGCCAGAAAAAGAGCTACTATAAATATTTTTGTACATGTGGATCCTTTTCCATTTTTTATGCTCCCTTTGGGATACAGACCTAGTACTGGTATTGCTGGATCAAAGGCTGTGGTTGCACACATGACAAAGTTGAGTTGGCCCTCAAAGTTTAAGTGCTCAGTATCCTTCATTTCTTTTGATTTGATTTTCTGACATTTTTTGGTATTTGATAGCATTGATCCATAGGTTATTAAAACTCTTAATGAACCCATGTATACCAATGAGTTCTACTTCCCAATGGAGGAAACTGAGAGCATGTATGATCTTATGGTTTTCTTCTTTTATTTCTAAAACTGAAATACACGATAAGAAAAGAAAAAGAAACACATTATAAACTTAAACACAAAATCTTAGATACAAAATAAGAAAAGAAAAAAAGTATTGCCATGTGCGCAGCAGAACATAAGAGAGGATTCAAAATATACAGCAAAAAATTTCCATTTCAAGAAAGTGTATATGATGAATACTATACATTGTGTTCAGAGCTTTCTTTATTTCCTTGTAAGTTTTCTTTTGTTCTCTGCTGTGCACTTTTTAGTTTGTTCTTTTTTTCCCACTTCCTCTCCCTGGCCCCCCGGCTATTGTTAAGTAAGGATATATTTACATACACATACACATACATGTATACATACATATACACATCTAAAACATACTTATATATGTATACATAGATGCATACACATCTAAATAGATATTTAAATATATATACATATACACGCACACACACATATATGTGTATATACCTATACATATATATATACATACACTTACATACACGTGCAAATACTTAGATATCTATAATCATACTCACATATAGACATATACATTCATATGCGTCTATATAAGACCCTATTATACTTGTTTGTCCTCTATTTCTCTGAGGCTGGAAAACATCTTCCTTCATGAGTTGAAGTCTTTCCATATTTTTCCAAGTCTACCAACTCATCATTTCCTACACCACAGCAATATTCTAACCTTATACTGTCAAGTTTTTAAATAGTCTAAAACAATATTAATATGGCTGACATATACTGCATGATTACTACCCCTATTTTTTTTTCCTAATAAATGCTACTTCTGATGTTTACTTTATTTTGTGTCTATCTTCTATTTCCTATCCTTGTTGGCTCCTCTACTTCTCTGAATCTTTGTGACCCCATTTGGAGTTTTCTTGGCAAAGATACTGGAGTGGTTTTACCGTTTCCTTCTCCAGATCATTATACAGATAAAGAACTGAGGCAAAGAGGGTTAAGTGTCTGAATTAGTAAGTGTCTGAGGCCAGATTTGAACTCAGGAAGATGAGTCTTCCTGACTCCAGGCCCAGTACTCTGTCTACTGTGCCACCTAATTACCCATAACTTTTATATGCACTGGGAAACAAAAAAATTGTGATACTTACTTTATTTCAATATTCGTTTTATTGCAGTAGTCAGGAACCAAACCCACAAACCAGCCCAATTTCTGAGGTATGCCTGTATTCCTGATCAAACTGATGTCCACACCATTGTTTAAATTGGAAGACAAAAAGAAAAAAAAAGCAACTTCCCATATACATTTTCTTATGGACAAGTAGATCAGTGGGGTTGGGTGAGATATCACTGCAGGGCTTCTTTGGGCCCCACAGAACAATTGATCACAGGGGAAACAGAAGCTTTAAAGGGATGTGCCCTAAATATAGAAGGCAGGAATCATTCATCTTTTGCTGGTTCTGCGGGGCTAATGTTAGCTTTGATAACATTAGGAAAAAGCTCATAAGCTCATTCTTCAGAAGGTTTCTCTCTCCCTTCACCATCTCCACAGATAAGTGATTTTGTTTTAGTTTGTGTCTGTTTCTCACTCCTTCTGTCTCTTATGCATGATGCACTGCAGAAGTTCATTGAGGACAGGCACCATTTCAGTTTTTTTGTACGTGTCCCCAGCACTTAGCTCTGGGCTAGCATATGTAGCAGGCACATTAATGTATAATGAATTTAATCATGTTGAGTTTTCTCCATTTTTTTCTCTGCCTAAAGCAAATCTGTAGAAATGGAGAGGTGAAGAGTGAGCATGTCTCTATAACTGCCCAGAGGAGAAGAGACTCTGACCAGTGGACTCTAGAATGACAATGTATATGACAGGCTTGTCCCAGTAGGGAATTTCATCATGGTCTGATACTTCTAAAGACAGCCAAATTTTGTTCCTTGATCTCTAAATAGCCCTCTGCTTAAAGAGATTCTTGGAATGCTATGATACTGCAAGTCCAGAAGGGGAGACTGATGAGTACATGTGGATTTATATTTTTTAATGGCAGTTCTGTCCCACAGAGAAATGAATAAAGTGGTGTGAGGTTTGTAATTGAGACCTGAGTGAGTTTGGTTTACTCTGAGCCTGTTGCCTTTGAACCTTATTATCCTTGAATGAAAACCAATGACATTCTGAGATACCATATCCTGGATTCTTGGAAACAACCATATCACAACTTTCTGAAAGGCCCAGTAAGACAAACCTCAGAGATAATTATTTCAAAGTTCTTTGTCATTGACTTAATGATAATTATATATGACTATCATAAAAGAATTAATGGTTCAGTCCAAAGGTCCTCTTCCCACTTTTATTTTTTTTCACTTTTTCTCACTGAGCCCTATAGTGGATAGAAAGCCAGCAGGACCTAGGTTCAAATCCTGGTTCTGATACATACTGTCTATGTGAACCTGGGCAAGTCATTTAACTTCTCAGAGCTCTAGGCAACACTCTAACACTATAACTTGCAGAGTAGAGGTACACCTGCATTAAAAGATGAAGCCCCTCATCTCATTGCTCATATCAATGAAGTCACAGGTCCAGTCCCTAACACACACACACACACACACACATGCACACTAATAATGCTTGTTTAGCTGGTAAGCAAACAGGACTTGCTGTCAGTCATTTGGCTTTCCTTCTGACTTTGTGTGGATTGAGTTCCCCTGCCTTTCTCTCTCTTTTAAAATAATATTTTATTTTTTCCAAATTACAGCCATCTTCCAGATGAATTTTGCTATTATTTTTTCTGGCTCTATAACAATTTTTTTGGTAGCTTGATTGGTATGATACTGCATAAATAAATTAATTTAGACAGAATTGTCATTTTTATTATGTTGGCTCAGGCTACCCATGAACATTTTCCCAATTGTTTACATTCGACTTTATTTGTGTGAAAAATATTTTATAATTGTGTCCATATAGTTCCTGAGTTTGCCTTGTCAGGTAGACTCCCAAGTATTTTATATTGTCTAGAGTTGCTTAAATGGATATATTTGTCTACAGTTCCTTTAAATGTTACTTCATTTCTATCTCTTGTTGCTGGACTTTGTTGGTGATATATAGAAATGCTGATGATTTATGTGGGCTTATTTTATATCCTGCACCTTTGCTAAAGTTGTTTATTATTTTAACTAGATTTTTAATTGATTCTTTAGAATTCTCTAAGTAGGCCATCATATCATCTGCAAAGAGTGGTAGTTTTGTTTCTTTATTTCCTATTCTAATTCCTTTAATTTTTTTTCTCCTCATTGCTATAGCCAGCATTTCTAGTACAATGTTGAATAATAGTGGTGATAATAGGCCTCCTTGCTTCATCCCTGGCTTTATTGGGAAAGCTTCTAGCTTACCTCCATTACAGATCATGTTTGCTGATGGTTTTAGATAGACACTACTTATCATTTTAAGGAAATCTCCATTTATGGATGCTTTATGGGTGCAGTATTTTGCTAAAGGCTTTTTCTGCATCTATCGAGATTATCGTATGATTTCTGTTGGTTTTCTTATTGGTATGGTCAATTATGCTGATAGTTTTCCTAATATTGAACAAGTCCTGCATTCTTGGTATAAGTCCCATCTGCTCATAGTATATGATCTTTGTGATATATTGCTGTAATCCCCTTGCTAGTATTTTATT